CACACAAAAAAACATCATCGAATCTTGGAGGGTTTGAAGTCCAGAAGGAAGAGATCACCTAGTAGTAGTAGTTAGTAGCTTAGTTTTATTTTAAGTTGTAACTGTAGTCAATTGACAACCCATCTTCTCTTCTCTGTGTCAACCCTTAAGACTCCTCACGAGCATCAGACCATCTTTCTCCATTTTCTGTTTCTTTTGTAAACTGTCTTTTGAATTAATATAAGTGTTTTTCTCTTTGTTCCATTCGTTATCTTTTAACTGAATCTCGGGTCTATGGGATTTCAGTTTGGAATAATTTTATTTAAACTATCAGCCATGAGCTGAACTATCTGTGGAACAGATAAACTGTAAAACTCTTAAAGAACTGTTTTCGAAACTCTTGACTGAAGCTTTTTGGATTTCTTTGGCTAAGTAAGCTATATTCATTGTGTATCAATGGAAATTGAACACATACTAAGAAAGGAACTTCTTTAAGGAAGGGATTTCAGACAGCTTAGCCATTGGGGTAAGGTAGTGTCATGGCAAAAACACTACTGGTCACCTTAAGAATAAGGGGCCAACTCGTCCATTTTAAGGTTCTGTACTAAGTACCTGTTGGAGTCAAGGGAGCCATAGGAATATGAAAACTTGTGAGCCATCTAGTCCATGAGCTTTGGAATCAGAGTTGGCAGATAAGAAACTGGGACAAAGCCAAAAAGTGCTAGGTCTCGAGTAGAGAAAACAGTTATTTAAGAATGGAGCAGTGAATCTGTTCCTTCTATTAAACTGTTTTAAAACCACCATCCTATTGTCTCTTGATTATTGTTATTTCTGTTTTAGTAGTTTTTACTTTATTTAATATTGTATCTGTCAAACTCCAATGATTACTATCTCACCTTCTTTTAAGCAGGGAGGATCACATACATAACGCAGCGAGTAATTGTTTGCCATAAGATTGAACCTACTGTTCCTGAGGAACGTTGTTAAGACAATAGGGAATATTTGACCAGACAGTTCATTTACTAAATTTTCTTCTCATTTTCATTCTTTATAAAACAGTGTAAGACAATAATTAGGATTCTATCCTCGTGGGAACGATAATCTGGGCATTAATACTCCCTTTATTACTTGATGCGTGCACTTACGCACTTGGGTTGGAACTAAGGGAAAGAATCTGTGTTCTTTAAGAACAGAGAAACGTCCCCTAGCAGAACTTGTATTTTTCCACCATCAGCAAACCACCCAACAATGTTCTCTCCAAAACGATAGGGATAACAGAATATGAGACTGTAAAAATGACACAAGAAAGCTACCAGTACTTGAGTAAACTCCCCCCTAAACTCCAAGATCCAGGAAGTTTCACCATTCCTTGCATCATAGGAAACACATACCAAGGTAAAGCCTTGTGTGATTTGAGGGCAAGCATCAATCTCATGCCTCTGTCCATTTTTAAACAGTTGTCCACTGGACCAGCAAAACCGACCACGGTAACATTACAGATGGCAGATAGATCCATTGTCAAACCAGAAGGGAAGATTGAAGATCTACTAGTTAAAGTAGATAAATTCATCTTACCCGCAGATTTCATCATCTTGGATTACAAAGCTGACATTGACATTCCCATCATTCTGGGTAGACCGTTCCTAGAAACTGGCGGAGCGGTCATCAATGTACAAAAAGGGGAGCTAACCATGAAAGTTCATGATGATGAAATCAAATTCAATATCGTAAAAGCAATGAAGTTACAGGATGAAGATGAAGATTTAGAAGAATGTTCTGTAATCACTTTGTTAGATAACCAGTTCAGCAAAAAAATAAAAGAAGAAGAATCTGAGGAAGAAGAAAGTCCACAAAAAGAGGAGCAGAATTGCTATCTGTAAGAAAGGAAACCTGAACTACTGCTAAGAACTGAACAAGAAAAGAAACTCAAACGACCATCTTCAGAAGACTCTCCTAATATTGAACTAAAGCCTCTTCCCCAACACTTAAAGTATGCATACCTGGGAAACAATAACACCCTCCCTGTGATCATCTCCTCATTTCTCACCAAGGAACAAGAAGAATTGCTGATCAACAAGCTGAAGAAGTACCAAGGAGCTATCGGTTGGACCATAGCAAACCTCAAAGGTATCAGTCCTTCTTTTTTGTATGCATAAGATATTATTGGCTGATCCTAACAGTTTTTCAATAGAACACCAAAGGAGATTAAATCCTATAATGAAGGAAGTGGTAAGAAAGGAAGTCATCAAATGGCTAGATGCAGATATCATATATCCAATATCTGACAGCAGTTGGGTAAGTCCTGTCCAGTGCGTTCCCAAAAAGGGGGCATAACTGTGGAATTAAATGAGAAAAATGAGCTAATCCCCGTAAGGAAAGTTATAGGGTGGAGAATTTGCCAAGATTACAGAAAGCTCAATAATGCCACCAGAAAAGACCACTTCTCACTCCCTTTTACAGATCAGATGTTGGATCATCTAGCAGGTAAGGAATATTTTTGTTTCCTTGATGGTTATTCTGGGTATAACCAAATTGCTCTAGCACCAGAAGATCAACACAAGACCACCTTCACTTGCCCATACGAAAGGTTTGCTTTTAGAAGGATGCCTTTCGGGTTATGTAATGCACCAGCAACGTTCTAGAGGTGTATGTTCTCTATTTTTTCTGATTTGATACGTGAAGGAGTAGAGGTTTTCATGGATGACTTCTCGGTATTGGGAATGTCATGACCACTCTTAGATAACTTAGAAAAAGTCCTCCAAAGATGTCTCACCTTTAATCTGGTGCTTAACTGGGAAAAATGCCACTTCATGGTGAAAGAAGTAATCATCCTGGAACATAAAATTTCCAGAAAAGAACTAGAAGTGGATCAAGCCAAAGTAGAAGCAATAACAAAGATGCCACCACCGGTTAATATCAAAACTCTGAGATCATTTCTTGGGCATGCGGGTTTCTATAGAAGGTTCATTAAAGATTTTTCCAAGATAGCTAGACCTTTGTGCCACTTGTTAGTGAAAGATATAAAATTTGAGTTTAACTCTGATTGTCTGAAAGCTTTTGAAACCTTGAAAAACAAGCTTGTTACTACACCTGTCATCCAACCTCCGGACTGCAACGCACCCTTTGAATTAATGTGTGATTCGAGTGACCAAGCTATTGGGGTAGTTCTGGGCCAGAGGAAGGACAAACTCTTTCGTAGCATATACTATGCCATCAAAACTTTGAATGCAACTCAGGTGAACTATATAGTCACTGAAAAGGAACTGTTGGTTGTAGTATATGCCTGCAAAAAGTTCAGACCTTACATTTTAGGATCAAAAGTTACTGTTCATACTGACCATGCAGCTCTCAAGTATCTTTTTACCAAGAAAGAAGCAAAGCAAAGATTGATAAGATGGATCCTACTGCTGCAAGAATTTAATCTGGAGATCAAAGAAAGAAAAGGATGTGAAAACCAAATTGCAGATCACCTGTCCAGATTAGAACACATTGAAGTGGGACTACCAATCAAGGAAACGTTCCCTGACGAGCAATTATTTGTCATCAATCACACAGAAACAGACGTTCCTTGGTTTGCTGATATAGCCAACTTCCTGGCAGCAGGACTTGAACCATATGAAGCAAACAGGATACAGAAGAAGAAAATTTTTCATGATTGCAGGAACTATCTCTGGATGAACTATTATTATTCAAAAGATGCGCAGATCAGATGATAAGGAGATGTGTTCTAGAAGAGGAACAACCCCAAATCCTTCTACACTGCCATTCATCCCTATATAGAGGCTATCTGGGTGGAATAAGGACTGCATCCAAGGTTCTTCAATTAGGTTTTTACTGGCCTTCGCTTTTTAAAGACGCACTTCAATATGCTAAACAATGTGATAAATGTCAAAAGGATGGTAACTTAACCAAACAAAATGAAATGCCCCTTAATCCCATTTTAGAAGTTGAATTATTTGATGTTTGGGGCATTGATTTTATGGGACCTTTTCCTCTTTCTTGTGGGAACAAATTTATATTGATGGCTGGGTGGAAGCGGTTGCTTTACCCATTAATGATGCTAAGGTGGTTACAAAATTTCTAAAGAAAAACATTTTGACCATATATGGGACCCCTCGCTGCCTCATCAGCGATAGTGGGAAACACTTCATTAACCGCCAACTTGAGAGATTGTTGGAAAAATATGGAGTTAGACACAAAGTCGCGACCCCATATCATCCACAAACCAGTGGTCTCATTGAAGTCTCTAACCGGGAGGTTAAGAGAATTTCAGAGAAGGTAGTCAACCCTTCTCGGAAAGACTGGTCTCTCAAGTTAGATGAAGCATTATGGGCTTACAGAACTGCATACAGAACACCCTTAGGATGTTCCCCATACAGATTAATATTTGGCAAAGCATGCTACCTTCCCCTCGAACTACAACACAAAGCGTACTGGGCAGTTTATGCCCTCAACATGGATAAGAAGGCAGCGGGAGAAAAGAGACTGCTACAACTTGAAGAGTTAGAAGAATTCAGAGGGAACTCGTATGAGAATCATAAATTATACAAAGAAAAGATGAAGAAGTGGCACGATAAAAGGATCAGGAACAGAGATCTAAGAATTGGCCAGAAAGTGTTGCTCTTCAATTCCAGACTCAGACTGTTCCCAGGAAAACTCAAATCAAGATGGACTGGGCCATACCAGATTATAAATGATGCAGGGAATGGAGCTTTTGAGATTCAAGGATCTGAGCATGGTCTTCTTTGAAAGTTAATGGACACTGTAACACCCCGTATATATCCGGTAATGTTATCATACTATCGTATTAAGCTGCGCTTAATTAAAAATACAGAATATTTTTTTCTTTCCAATTATGATGTCATTATCATTACCAACTTGCTTATTAATCAATTAATAAAACATTGTCTGTATGTAATTGCAATAAAACAGCTAACTGAAATACCTCATAACATAGATAATATAAGTGTGTCTCTAGAAATCACGGAACTACCACAAGTAGGCCGGACCAACTAGCAGGATATACAACTCCAATCTAAAAGTACTAACAGAAAGTGTCATGGACAATCCCCATGCTCACTCAAATAAGGCAACAAGCCCAACATCAGTCTCAACAACAACATAATCATAAATAGCGGAAAACATAAACAGCATCCAAATCCAGTCATGCCAGCATATAAACAGTAATAATCCTCAACTAAGCTCTGGCCTCTCGCCGCCAGAGACATCAGCCCCCAAATTGCCTGAACCTGAAATAAGCATTCCCCAAACGTGGGGTGAGATCTCTAAACAAGAAATCTCAGTAAGGCAAGGGGTCCTCAAGGATCTTCCACCCCAAGCTCACTTACATGTGCAATATAAGTTTAAAAGCAGTTCATCAATATCATTTCTAAAACAGTGCAATGCAGCAGATAATCATGTCATGTGTGTCAATTCTATTCTACTGGCCAGAGAAATGCAGGATTTACATATGCCAAATACCCACACAAGTGTAAGACGCTACTTGCATCCACCCCGGATCACCGTCTTGTATGGCGCTACATACTCAGGTTTACCGTCAAGATGGAACAACACATGCATATTAAAAACCATTACACATAAAGCTCAACAGCATTTCAAATATTCAAAGCATGTAACACAGCATGCATACAACCATACCCCCATGGGACATGGTGGAACCACAAGATGGCTAAACCGAGGACACAAAAGCTTACCTTCTAAGCTAATATCCAAACCAAGAGTCCACACAGCTCAAGGCCCACAAACAGCACAATCACAATCTGCCCATACCATAATTACTCATCAACAATCATAGCTCAGATTACATTAAGTGATTAAGTCTTTCTTACTCATTTTAACTCATTACATGTTGTTTCTGCAGGAAGTATTCGAATACTCCACGAGTAGTATTCGAATACTCCAGCTCTCCAGAAAGTATTCCATTACTTTCACTTAAGTATTCGAATACTCGCCAGTATCCGAATACTTAACCCCCCAGTATACGAATACCTCAGTATCTGAATACTAAACTTTACTGTATTCGAATACTTTCCAGTATTCGAATACTTCTTCAAAGGTAACCGAATACTTTTCTTCCCAGAAAAGTATTCCAATACTCCAGCAAGAGTATTCGACTACCTGATGAACAAGTATTTGAATACTACCCGAAAGGTATTCGAATACTTCTTCAACATAATGCAGAAATTTGAGCTAACTTCTGCATAATCCCAAATTTAAGGGTCCAAACGCGATTGGGAGTCCAATGACTCCCTAAACAGATATAACACAACATGTTATGAACCCAGAAACACATTCTTTTTAATGGTTTAAGTTCCTTTTTTTAATAGATTAAACAAGCTTTAGGCCTCAAAATGATACTTAGGTGATCATGGCTCACCTCAAGAGCTCTAAACTTCGAAAATGAAGCAGAAATGAAACCTCCAATGCAACTCCAAGGTTCTGACTTCACAAGGCTACGAAAATACACTTCAAGCTAGATCTTTTGTGCCAAAAGGTGGCTTCTTGAAGCTCAAGAAGCCAAGAGCAAGCCCCACTCACACAAACTCAGACTATACAGCCCCAAACACCCTCAACCAACAGCAAGCATATCCTCAGAAATCCTTCACCACTCACCACCAAGGTTACCCCACACACACCCAAGTGTTTAAGTGGCAAAAACAAGGAGAAAGGTGACACATTTGGCTCACAAGAGGAAGGGAGATGAAGGTGGCAATGGGAGGCACAAGGCTGAAGAGAATTCAGAAAACTCCGTAGGCAGCCTCCAATATGGCCTAGGGTTTAGTGCCATTAAGTATATATAGGCGGTTAAGTCACTAACAAACAGTATTAGCTTTAATTGCTACGCTTAGCATTTTAACCCCAAACTTTGGATTCTTAACCTACTCAATTTTACAAGAATTTTCATATTTTTATTATATTTTTCCGAGCACCTTTCCGGTACGCGCTTTTCAAAGCCAGTACCGGTTTCTAGCACCATTTCTCATTATTTGGACTTGAAACTCGTTTTACAAGTCCTACATATTATTCTAGTAATTATCATGCACTTATTATAATTTTTCGGGATACTTTTTCGGTACACATTTATTCCGACTAGCAGAACCAGTATCTGCACATTTCTTCTGAAAAACGACTTTCAGCATTCTTACTCACTAATTATAATTATTAAAGCCTCATAATAATTATTAGGGTCAATTTATGGAATCATTTCCTAATTTTGCATAATTAATTAACTAAATTCCTTGATTAGCGGTGCGGGTTCTTACAGACACAGGTTGAAGGTATACACTGATGAAACCTTCAATGAAAAAGAGGAGAGTATCCTTCTTTCTGAGTTCACCTAAAAGGTAAGTATCATGTCTAGCTAAAGACATTAAACTAAGCGCTGACTGGGAGGCAACCCAGTGGATGCATTTGCTCTCTAACCAAGAGCAAAGTTTTGGGGTGGTTAACCTTAACCACATGACTCCCAAATGGAGGGAACGTCTGATGTTCAACTCCAAAGTCCAAATAGTATACGTTCCGTTCTAGGAACGTAGTTTTGGGATGGTTCACTAACCACACTATCCCAAATAAATAAATAAATAAAAAATCTTTTGTTCAAGCTGCTTGGTACATACATTTCAGTTATAGTATTATGGCTGTACAATTTTGAAGAGCCAATAAACATGAAACACAAAGTCAATGATTAATCATTTTTAATCTTTCTCTGAGTACTTGAAATAGGAAAAAGTGAAGAGAATTTAATCTTCAAATTTTTGAGGGATGCTGATCTGTGTGAGCTAAAGCTGGCAAGGAACGAAAAAGGCCAAACACTTACTTATGAGAGCGTTCCTGAGGTGTAACCACAATGAAACTTCTCACTTGCCTTGATGTTGTAAGTACTGCTGAAGAGCAGATGAATTTCACTACCAAGGATCAACCATACACCCACTCTCTTTCATTCAAACAAAACAAAACCATACACACACTTCTGTTCCATCCATAATCATCACCAGGTCAACCGAAAAGGGCAAGGAACAGATCCAAAAGGAGCAAAAAGGACAGAATAAGGAAAACAAAGAAAACGGGAACAACCATTCAAAAGAATTCAGAAAAAGATACCAGAAAACTTTCCTTCAAGGGAAGAAAAGGTACAAAAAGACAAGGTGTTCCCTCAAACAAGAAAAGTCCAGTTCAAAGTAGAAAAACGAACGTTCTTTGGCCCCATGATCATGACCACCATTCTTCCACACCTCCATAAACATTCCTCTCCAAAGATCCTTGGAAGGGAAGACATCTGCACTTTATAGCAAAGCAGCAGAAAAGCAAGTTCTGAAGAATCACATCCAGGAATGGACAGAGAAACACCAAACCCTGAGTGATAGTGAGACAGAAGATCAGCAACCTTCACTTACCTTGAAAAAAATTCTTTCTACTTTATACCTATGGAAAGTAGTTCATTTTTTAATAGATTATGATTGCTCACTAGCTCATGTTTTGATGTTGAGCTATTCTTTGAAATCGAGCAGCCTAAACCACTATTTCTGAGTTGTTTGAGGACAACCAACAATTTAGTTTTAGGGTGTTTGATGGGACGTAAATTCGTTCCCATCTAAGCCCATTTCGATGGCAAAATACCATCCGTTCCCTCAACTGATAAGCAACTTCATCATGAAAATCACTTGTTTTACATCTTTTTGACAAAAACATAGTGGGAGAACGAATGATGACGTAATCCTTTGGAAAACATATTAAAAGGGGAACGGGTTGAGAACATTTATTGCACCTGCTCCACTCATCCTCCAAGTAATCTCTAAAAGGATCCTCCAATCAAAAGGACCCTCTAAAAGGATCCTTCAATCAAAAGGATCCTCTAAAAGGACCTTCCAACTAAAAGGATCCTATAAAATGACCCTCCACCCAAAAGGATCCTCCAAGTAAAGGATCACCTAAAGGACCCTCCAAGTCAAAGGATCCTCCAAAAGGATCCTCCAGATAAAAGAACTTCCTTACAAGGATACTCCAATAACGAAAGGAAGCTAATAGAACTTCCTATGTACTCCACCGCGAGGCAAAAAAAGAAAAAGAGCTAATACAATGGCATCCAAGCTCCATCGCGATGCAGAAGCCGATGGGAAAAGTGATACTCCTGGTAGTATGAAGTACATACTAAGCCACATCGAACTTCAGAGCATGGAAAATAGATAGGTATGCAAAATACATTCATTACGAATTATGAACTATCTATATGCAGAATACAATTATGAAGTTCTCAAGCACCTGTACTAAGTACAAATCCTAGTTCCAAAAAGGAACATCTATATCCTCAGGGAAAACTTCGAGGAAAAGAAGAAGAATGAGGAGGGTAATACTCCTCAAAGGTTTTCAACTCCTGAGATAACCTCATATGATTGCACCATCGCGTCTTATGGTGATAAGGTACACTGAAAGTATTTTTTACAATATACTCTTCATCTAAAGAAGATATGGCTATTACCACTCTACAAAATGATACGCGCACGGTATACAGTCATAACACATCCTTCTAAACAAAAACATGATATAATCTAAAGTCATCGCGGCTTACATGATAGTACCATTGTCATTCTCAGAAAAAACCATCATTGTTTAAATTAAGTAGGGAATAATCCCCTTACAGACCGAGAAACCAAGAAAGGATTAAGAAAAAATCAAACTGTCTGGATAGACATATCTTGTGGACCCTCGGTTACTCCAACTGGGTCCCCACCATCAGTAGCTGGCCCTTGAGGAGTTGGCTCTTGTATGGATGCCACAATAGTCTCTGTATCCATGGCGCTGATTAACTCCACTAGAACTTCTTCATCTTTCTCATTCAGGGTCATTAACTGACCATCCTTCATGTAGTATAGATAATGGACATTATCCAGTATGGCCATTGGATTAAAGAGACGCACTTGCTTCATAATATTTGCATAGGTTACCTTAGCCTCCTTTTCAAATAAGTCTTGATATTTTGCAACTTCACTGGTGAATTGCGTTTTCTCTTCCTCCCAGGAATTCACATTTCCCTCCAACTCCAAGACGCGCTTGGTCAGATTGGTTTTTTCAGACTTCAGTTCTTTATTTTCCGATTTCAATTCTTTATTTGTTGCCTTCACTTCCTTCAGTTCCTGCCTCATCATCGCCATCTCATCCTCAGCCTTCTTCAATTTCTCTTCAAAATCTGTGCGTTGCAGGAAAAGTTCCCTCTTCAGGTCCACAATACGCT